TGTGGTAAACTGTAGTCAATGTCATGAGACAAAGTATATGTAAACTGCGGTATGGAAAGTGAATTTGCTCTGTAAATCTTCACCCAAATCACACACACACACACAAAAGACGGTATATCTGTATAATGAACTATTATTCATCCATAAAAAGGAATTAAGTACTAATACATACTACAACATGGATGAACCTTAAAAACGTTATGAGCCAGAAAACTTAAGACCACATGTTGCAATATTCTAATGTCAAATGTGTACAATAAGCAAATCCATAGAGTCAGGATGGGGTAAGAGGAAATGGGGAGTGACTGTTTATGGGTACTTAATGTGTTTCTTTTTGGGATAATAAAAATGTTTTGAAATAAAGTAATGGTGATGGTTGCACAACAATGTGAATATAATGTAAAAATCACTGAATTGTACACTTGAAAGTGGGTTAAAAAAAAAAAAAAGTGCTTCTTCAATTCAAAATTAAAAGCAGAGAAACTGAGAAAGTCCCTTTATATTAAGCTATCCCTGTATGACTGTAAAGTCAACTCAGATTCTCTCCTCAGGAAAACGTACCCCAAGGCCTATCTTTAAACTTGTGGCAAATTAGCCAGATCGATACTTAACACAAACTATTCTTCCTCACTTAAAACAGATTTTCAGACTTACAAAGACAAATTTGAGACTTCCCAGGACTTGTTCTTCATACTGAAGGTACAAATTCCAGAAAACAAATCTAACTGATACCCACATACCCAACAGTTAACTATAAATAACTAAATGTATCATTTACTGACATGCTAGTTATGCCAGGAAAAAGAGCAATAATGTTGCTGTTATTACTATTTTGTAGCTAACCAAACTAAGTCTTCAAAAAGGTTAAGTCGTCCATGTTCAGAGTTTATAACTTAACAGAAAAAGATTATTTTCTATTAATTTCCTATTACTAGTTAGAACTTTCTAACTTACCTTAAACGCATATAGCAGACTGCTGTTTGTCGAGCACTGTTTTAAACACTTAAAATTATTTACATTTTCTAACAACTCTACGAAGTAGGTAGTACTGTGGCTGTGGCACACTAACTAGCCCAAAGTAACACAGCTATTAACTATGCGTAGAAACAATGACTAAGACAATTAAGTGCTGGGAACAAGGACTTCTCACTTTCCAATTGCCCTCTACTACGGAACTACACTCAAGCTTTAC